AATGTGTAGAATCCACCATGTCAATGTTACTCGCTTGATTGGATTTTGTGCAGATGGAAATAAAAGGGCTCTTGTTTATGAGTACATGCCAAACGAGTCCTTAGAGAAGTTCATATTTGTAGCCAGAGATGAAGATCGTTTCCTCAGTTGGGAGAAGCTTCAAGAAATTGCTATAGGAATAGCCAAAGGAATTGAGTACCTACACCAAGGTTGCGACCAACAAATCCTTCATTTTGACATCAAGCCTCACAATATCTTGCTAGATCAAAACTTCAATCCGAAGATCTCTGACTTTGGTTTAGCAAAGCTGTGTTCCAAGGAACAAAGTGCTGTTTCTATGACAGCAGCCAGGGGAACAATGGGATACATTGCTCCTGAGGTACTGTCTAGGAACTTTGGAAAAGTGTCATATAAATCAGATGTTTATAGTTTTGGAATGTTATTGCTAGAAATGGTAGGAGGGAGGAAGAATATTGATGTCACAGTGGAGAGTACGAGCCAAGTTTACTTCCCGGAATGGGTATATAATTGCCTGGAGAAAGGAGAATTCGGGATTAGAATAGAGAATAAGGGGCATGCCAATATAGCAAGAAGACTTACAATTGTTGGACTTTGGTGCATTCAGTGGTACCCAACAGACCGTCCATCAATGAAAGCCGTGGTTCAAATGTTAGAAGCAGAAGTTGACAGTTTAACAGTGCCACCTAATCCCTTTGGGCATGTAAATGGCGTGCAGACAACAAGTGTCAATATCCCAAGGAAACCAATTAATAGAGAACTAGAAGTCATCTTTGAATGAGATTATTTGGAATGTATTCTACATATAAGTAGTTCTTTTACTTTTCCTAATGCATCTATTCTTATAAAGGGCCTAATATTGAGTGTTTAATGTTTTATAAAATCATTAAAGGGCTTGTATATTAACCTACTCTATATCAACCAATGTAACATGGAATGTTTTATAAGAAAGTTTTTCCCCTTTTCTTTTTTCTTGTTTCTTTTTAATCCTTCTACCTTTTTCATGATTTTTATTTTATTAGGTTCTTGCCTATTCCATTAACCGAACGCACCCAACGTGGCCCAAACCTACTCTTTCAAATTAACAAAGTAATTTTTAGACTTTTGTTAGTATGGTTGTAATTTTTTATTTATGATTTTAGTTATCAAGATTATTAGTACTTCGAAACCAAAATTAATTAATTTATAAAACTTTTACCTACCAATACCTAATATATTTATATATTTTTTGGTCAACATTCCAAAACCTAATATTAAAATTTTAATTACTTTATAAAACTTCTTAACTTTATTCTATGATTTCTAAATTTTTAAAAATTAAAACCAAAAATAAAAGATCAGAACTGTACTAAACGAAGAATTACTAATTAATTAACAAGCTTATAATCAACATATGTCATTCTAATGGTATCTCCAAGGTTTAATAAGGAAAAAATATTAGTGACAAAAATGTTAGTGTTCTAAAAGTATGGAGGCATAAAATAAAAATCAAAAAGGCAATTTTCTAAATGGCATAACCTCCCTAGGAGCACTCTAACTGTTTGTTTTCAAGGCCATTAATCTCTTAACGTACACTTTATGTATTTTAGTCAACAGTGGCAGAACCAAGAATTTGTTTAGGGTAGGGCTTTAAACTATAATATAGGTATGGTTATTAATAAAAAAATAAATTCATATTAATTAAAATTATTATAACACTAATATATTGATTAAATAAAATACTAACCATATAACTCCTAAGTATGAAGATGACTATCATTTTGATTCACATAAGAGATATCATCAATCGAGTCTAAATTTATCATGAATAACCAGTTATTTAAAATAAAATAATCAACTGGGACAGTGGGAATAATATAAAGGTTGATGTTGATCAAATTAAATATTGAAAAGGGAGAAGCACTGAAAATGAGAGAGGACCACTTCTTGCACTTTTAAAATACAAATTTAACAAGTTAAATTACTCATAATCTAACAATAAGTTAAAATACAAAGTAATTATATTAATAAAAAAAAGAGACAAAATTAGAAAGAACAAGTTACTTAGGGGCTGGCCGGCTGGACAGTGGGACTAATATAAAGGTTGATGTTGATTGAATCAAATATTGGAGGAAAAGCATCGAAAATGAGAGAGGACCACTTCACTTTTTTTTTTTTTTTTACTAGGGCAAGTGGTTGAGGGAGGGGGTGAGGAGAGGGATCAAACTTTTATAATGATAAAAAAAATTTATATTAAATTATTGAATTATTAGACTGAACACAGATTTCTTCAGGATCACTTCACTTTTAAAATGTAAATTTGGTGGAGAATTTGGAGATATCCTTTTATCAGACAAAGTTTAATATTTGATTATTTAGGCTGCGTGTAAATGACGCCAAAAGTTTCCGTATCACTCTTGAATTTGGCCGAGACCATAACAAGCCCATTTATTAAATTTATGTCTTTAATTTTACTCTTTATAAAAATCTTTCATTTATTTAGGCAGGGCCTAATAGTATTAGGCTTAATAATACTATAAATTTTTGGGTTCAGGGTAGGGCTGTACCTAACAAACCTATTAGTTAAATTTATATATTTGATATTACTTTTCATAAAAAAATCTTTCACATATAGGACCTAATAGCATTAGACTTAATAATACTATAAATTTTTTAAGCCCAGGGTAGGGTCCGTGCCCAACCCTGGGCCTAAGTAGTTCTGCCACTGTTAGTCAATAAATTTCATATTATTTATTTGTAAATGGTCTATGGCTCCTCAGTGAAACCAAGTCATCTTTGGAAATTCAAGTCAGCTAACGCGTCCTTGGTAATTTTTATTTTTTTTAATTATTTTTCTTTAATTATTCAAATAAATTTAAGAGAAATTATTTTAGAAAATAATTAATACATTTTTTGATTTAATATATTTTTTAATATTGTCTCAGTTTGATTATTAAAATATAATATAAGTAAAATCGATTTAATCAATTCATATGTTCTATATGTATGTTTGTATTTTTAAATTTGTTTGTCTTTAATTTTAAAGTAAAAAATAATAATTTTTAATTAATGTATTATACAATATTTTATCAAGATAATGTATCAATTAATATCCAATTATTTTTGAAACTTAGTTAATTAATAATTCTCATGGATTCAATGCTTTACTTATTATTATATTATTTAGAGTGATTAATGCATTTGTTAAAATAATTTTATTGCATCAAAATTGATGGAATAAAATGGCATTTCAATCTTTATTTTTTTGATGGAAATATTTCATGATCAACCCTTATTAAATGTTAAGAATTATATAATCTTAATTGTGAGGACAATGTATTTTGGAAATTAGATTAAATCCACTAATAAATAGAATGACTTTTACATGATCATGATTTGTGATTCTAATTAAAAAGAATTAATTACAAAATATCACGTTACATTATGCAAAATATTATACTTACAAACAATGCGTGTAGCATTTTCTTCATTTTCTTCCTCTATTAAAGTAAAATTTGGATGAGGTGTCTTTGTTAGATACATTTTTGTACATTTCAAGAGATTAAATTTTTAATCTTAATTCTAAATTAAAATTTTTATATTAATAAATATTAATTTAACCAAACTCATATGATTCACTTTATTAGATGATTCAAAATATTTTAATTTATTAAATTATCATTTTCATATTAGAGGGGATGCCATGTATGTATAGACAAACTAGAATTAGTGCACTTTCATTCCCTATAGTAAACTTGAAAATATAGTGTCCCCTTCTCACTCCACTAATTGGTTACCTCGATTTTTATTAAGAAATATTTGGTATACCTACACGTTAGGGACTTAGGAGGCAACTTCATTGAAGCTTCCAATGAGAAATTTGGATCCCCTTGAAGACGAAAGCAATAAGATAGCCCCATCACCCTTAGCGCACCGTTGAAATACATTATTGAACTTGGATGAACCAAAAACAAATGCATAATTGAATTTAATATACTTACACATCATAAAGCAACTTCATTGAAGCTAGCTTCCATCGAGAAATTTAGATTTATAAAGATGAGAGTCCACAAGTCTCCTTCATCGTAATTAATACGAAGGTCCATCCACATGTCCTTTTTGTTTGCAAGTTTATGGTTTTACGGTAAAAGTAAGTTGTCTATAATTAAGTCGTCTATAAAAGTCTAAGTCAATTGACGCGTTCATTATCTCATCCCATCACCTTCAGCGTATTAATTTAATTTTTATTTCTGAAAATTGTACTTAAACGGTGTAATTATAGCCGACTTAAACATCATTGTTATCTATCTAACCGAGTATTTTTTATCACCAATGAATTTCTTTCTTTTCTTTTTAGAAAAGCTAAGAACTTTCATTCTCTACCCTTCAAATCTTAGAATGTCAACAAATTTGACGTATAACTATGGACAAAAACTGTATCTATATGATTAAAAATTGTGGGTCTTGCTCCAAGGCATATACCTACGAACAAAAAAATATAATTATATGTAACATAGCTATAAATATCTAATCTAATAATGCTCTTAGCAATATTGTTGAAAAAAGATGCATTTAGCAACTATATTAATTGTTGCAAGAAGAGGGATTTTCTAACTATTTTAAAAAAGGAAGAGAACCTGAGAACCTCTAATTTAACTCTACAAAAGCATTTACCGCTATGCCATTGGATATGCCGAGCAAGCGCTGTAATTAGTGTTGGGCATCGATCGGTTTAGTTATTGAACTGATTAACATGAACAATTAATAGATAATTCTATTAGAAAAAAGAGTGAAGCAATCACCAAACTATAAAAAAAAAAAAAGTCAGTTTTATTGGTTCGGTGACTGGATCATTTAAGTCTTTTCATATTAATTTTAGTATAAATTGAAAAAAAAAATTAAGCAAAACAATACGTACTTTTCTTAAGTATAGGAGACTTTAAAAAATCCAAATTAATTTAGTAAAAAAATATTAAAAATATATTCTGTGGGAAACTGAAAAAAATTTCCAATTAATTAAAAGGGAAATTGTGAAAGAATCCGGCCCCAGCTAAACAAATCCCAATTAATTAGGACTTCAAGAAGGAATCTGGGAAATATCCTGCCCAAGCTTCAAAAGTCCTAAAATAATTGGGCTTGAAAAAAAGGCATTTTGGGCCTCAATTTTTTCAGTTTCGTAGGAGGCTTTAATCGGGCGTCATTTTTTGGGCCTCACAACTGAACCCCGCCCAACTAGAATTCAGGTTTAAACCGAAACCACGCCTCTTCGGCCCGAACACAAAATTTCGGTAAAATCACCGACCGACGTCAGTTCAGTATTCAGTTTTTGGTCGGTTAATCAAAACTGTGCCCACCCCTAGCTCTACTTCTTCTTAAATCCTCAATTATGGTTGGAATCTTGAATTCAATTAGCAACTTGACTGATTTTTGAAAAAGCGACTTTGCATTTTTAATTCTCCAATCTTTCGTTATTCCCTTTGCTAGCTTTTTCTCACACTTATACTCCACCATATCCTTTAATGCCTTGTTCTCCTCTTGATGGGATTTTTCTATTAACACACCGTGTTCTTCAATTTTTGTGCTTTGAGTTGCAATGTAAATTGATTTTGATGTCTTACTATAAGAGAATGATTTCAATCGGGAAACAATGGGGCAGCAAGAGAGAAGAAGGCAAACGGAGAAGGAGGGATAAGTAAAAATTTTTAAAAAAAGTCTGCATAGTAGAAGTAAATGAGAGCATTTCAGTCTTAATAAAAAGTAGATAACCCACAATTAAAACAGCTACTAAATCCATAATAGAATATTACTTTAATAAGGTTTTGATAGTCTATTTAATGCTCACCATGCACTATAGGTTAAAAAATCCCAATTGTTTCCAAAATGGAAATCTTGTGATTGTACCAAACTGTAAAACAAAAACTATTGGTTGAGGGAGAGCTTCCAATATCAGGGGACTCACCTCCATCTAATAGTTAATAGAATGTAGTTTGATACAGTTTAGATTACACTATATTTTTTCGTTCTAAAATAATATTGTGACAAAATTAATTGTTGTGATAATAAATATTTTCACATTAAATGATACCGTAACCAAAGTCTATTTTACGAACAACCTTTTTTTTTAGAATAAATGTTGTAACAACTAAAATCATAACTCAGTAGTAATTTTAATAAAAGTAAG